AGGTTTTCCCACACAAGGAGGATATGACGCCTGGTTCTTACATGCAGCAGAGAAGACACACGGAGAAGGGAGCCGAAAAGCACACTTCGCACTTACGTGGGAGATGCCGGTGTTCTAGAATTTCGGAGTGGTGTGTATGTGATGCATGCATTAATAGGGGATGTATGGTGATTTGGTCGTGTCTTCGGTGATTTGCCGCAGGTTTTCATGGGTGCGCGTGTGATCGATAATTTCCATGCGTTGGTTGGATGAGGACAATGAGGTCAGCTGAGGCGATGGCGTCTGTAATGTGTCGGTGCTCCAGGCATTGGTTTGCCTATCACCGTGCGACAGATTTGCGTGGGATCGGCCAGGCCGTTGTCTGAGTTGAATTTGCGCGGACAGTCAGGATAGATCGGGAACTACGGAGTCCGTTACGGTGGTGGGCGTCCTATGAGATGGGGCATTATTCGACCTAGGCATGGTCGGTGTGCAAGATGTGCTAGTTATATCGATACCGCTGCGAATACTGCTGTCACGAATACGCATGTTACCGAATAGGCCACTGCGGCGAATTAATGTTTATTGACTGATTTGAAAGTGAAAGCGGATGCGGTGAGTGCATTTGGGTAATCTAGACACTAGTTCGCCAGTCTCGGTGCAATGCATTCGCTAGCGACCGACCAGGCCAGTGTGTGGGGTGAATGTGTGATCAGAATGAGGACAGGTTGGGACCGGGTCCACATCGCTGGAGGTGAGGATGCTGGTGGAGAAGATTGCAGATGACGTCCCATCGGTGAAGGGAGTGCGTGAAGCTGCGGTACTGATGGAGCTGGTCGCTTTGATCTGCGCATTGGTTCGAGTAGGATGGATGATGTCAGTGATGGGTTGCGGTGGGGTATCGGCAATATAATTATCGGAAAAGATGATGTTAGTCGTCGTCTTCGTCGTGGAGTTTGGGGAAAGAGTGTCATTAGGGATGTTCGCGGGGTTGTTGTTCCACTGCTCCCGAAGGCGTCCTACGAGACCGATTCGCGCGCGGGATTTCGTTGTAAGCGCGGGCATTTTGGGGAGGGGTGACTGTTGGCATTGCACAGTCGAGGTACTTATGGCTTGCGGGCGTCTCTTTTGGCTTTGCGGACGGCAATCTGATTTGCTTCGTAAATTACTGCTCCAGGCTTCGCTTCTCTACAGGTCGGTCGGTTTTGTGCAAGATATTCTCAAGTCTTCCAGTTTGTCTGCAGCTGCTTAAAGGAAATATTTTAGGTGTCCTTGCAACGAAGGTTTTACTTTCTTTGTCATCGAGCACCCTTACCGTAATCTCCGCAGGAGGTCTGTTTTGGTACGCACTGTTAATTAATCCTTATGAGGCGGTCGCTCCATCGCAGTTGCGTTTGCCTCAGCATTGAGTGGGTGTTGAGGATTTCAGCCCATTTGAAAACTTTTAAGTCTGTGGCCCCGTCCTATCAGCCGAGATTCAACATCAGCCAACGACAGCTGAGATGAACGTGACAGGGCTTCCTCATTGTTTCACATAGACTGTCGAGATGTCTACTTCATACAGCAGTATCGTCAAGACAACCGCTTTGTACAAATTCAGTTTGGTCCTGTTCAGTTCAGTTCAGTTAACTGAGGGAGATGGAAGCGAACCTTTGAGTACCATATTTTCAACGTAAATTGGGTGCAATGTACAGAGGAATAATCTCGGCTAAAATAATTTAAACGGGCCCATAGCAGTGTGACAAATCATATGTAAGTTTTAGGCAATCCATCCCTCCTCGCTCTCGCCCATTATGGGGCATAAATATGTCAAGGTCCCTTTTAAAGATTTCTATCGATGATGACATCAAACTATTCACGGAGTGTGCATTCGATGGTCTGAGTGCTCTAGCAGAGAAGGAGAACTCCCACACAACCAGCCTTGCCTGCTGAATGCGCAGTTTTATCGGGAGACATCGGAGGTTGGTCGTGGTGGAGTATTCAAAAACTCCCCAAAGGCCAGGATGCGGTCCAATTCCTTCACAATGCGGAACGCTTGCAAGAGATTCCCGAGCAATTGCCTATAATTTAAAGCAAATGGTCCAGATTTACTAGACGGGTTGCGTAAGGAAAGGAGCTTTGATCCCTAGCCCCCCTAGGACGTGCGGAAATCAGTGTACATCAGCTAGACCGATAGTTTCCCCATTTTAACAGGATCCTGAGAGTTATATATTTGAGTCACCTGTGGCACGGCGTCAGAACAGTGTGATCCCAAAATTAGAATCATAATCCGGCCCAAAAGAAACGTAGCACGGTTCCATTTAGAGATATGCTGCCTTCTCTTAGACTTATTATCCTTTACAACCCAGCTCGTTCATAAACCCCACAGCCCCAATTATACTCCCTAACTAATTCTCTGTCCTGTTTACCGGCTGCTTGCCAAAGCCCTACTACACATCCTGTAAATAGTTTTTACGTGAATCGCCCTAAGTCATTTATCTCCCAGCCTATTTCAGGCTTCCCACCACTCAAGGTCAGCTGTTCTCACGTAAGTCAACCTAACTTATCTAACATCCGAATAGATCTGATTTATTACCCTTTAATACTCATAGCTACCTACCCTCCGCCGCTGATCTCTATCTACCTTCTAGACTCCCTCTTCTTCTTCTTTTCCTTTTTCTTCTTCTTCTTCTTCTTCTTCTTCTTCTTCTTCTTCTTCTTC